CCCCGGCGCAATAGTTCCTCGTATTTTTATGTATTTATTATTTTTTTCTTGTGTCTGATATATTGATAATGAATAGTGGTGGTGGGTGAACAAGAAGGTGAGAGACTTTAAAAAAAATGAGAAATGCAATCATCAACCTCAGAGCTGTTTCATGGTGTAGTTCAGTGGATCATATATTGTCAATCAAACGACAGTTTTATAATCAAGGCACCCGTATATTTTCTTTCCCTTATAAGGCTCAAATCCTGCTTTTCTCCCCAACCTCTTTCTGCAGTATAGTCAAATTGCACACACATGTGTTCATTTCACATACACTTGCACACACACAGGCACTCATGCACGCACACACACACACACACACACACACACACACACACACACACATAAACACACACACATACAAAGCTAAAACAAACCCATTTGGGCCGTCATCTTTGTTTTCCATGGCAGCACTTTTCTAAATGTTTTATTTGTCTTTTTTGGGGGGTCCACCATGTTGACATAATAATTGTTTTCTTTTTGTGCATTTGTTCATTTGTTCCCAGTCTTTCTTTTAATAAGCCCTTGTAATCCTCTTCTTTAGATTTTGTCATTCCATTCTGGATTTCTCTCACCATCTGCTCACCTTATGCTTTCCTTTGGACTGAATTTGCGTTCTGAACTGATTTTTTTTTTTTTTTGGAAGAAAGGATATTACATGTATAAGGAAGATAAATATGCTATGTATTCTACTAAAATAACTGCATTCCTCTTTTTTTCCTTGCAAATTAGGCTTTTTAAAAATCCATATTACCCCATGATAGTGTTAAGATTTTTCCCCACACATTTCCCAATGTAATGTATACACTTTCAAAGCAAAATTTGATTGGCTTGTGCTTTCAAGCATGAAATAAAATAATCCAGCAGTGCACCAGTGAATCTGCTTACACCACCACTATCATTGCATTTCTCAAGGCTGATTTCTGTGTCTTCACTGCCATGCATGACATTGTACATTTGTGGGCAGCCAGGCGAATAATCCTGATGTGAACCTATGTCATGGCTTTCTTCATCAAAGTGGTAGTTTGAGTTAAGGTTGTGGAGTGTTATTCATGTCTCTCCAACCACTTGGCTCAGTCTTATTGAGGAAGGACATAAAGTCAGGGCTGGTTTCCTCGCTGTAATAACCTCACGATGTTGAAAGGATGGTTATTCTCATAATATTGCGTGTGTGTCCGTACTGTTGGTTCTGTATACACGTTTTCTCTGTTTTTCTCCACCCCACCCCACCCCCCCCTCTCCCTTTCTCTTTCACACATACACATATACACATATACACGCATACACACACACATATAAACGCATACACACACACACACACACACACACACACACACACACATACAACATACATACACACACAC